TGGAAAAAGCTATCAAGGACATGAGGAATGGAAAGGCTACAGGAGATGATGATGTGCCTGGAGATATGCTTAAGTTACTGGGAGAAGGTGCTTTGAAAACACTGACAAAACTAATCGATACCATATATGAAACTGGGGAGTGGCCCAAGGACTTTACACAAGTGACAATGATTGCTACAAGTCAAAAGCTACAAAATGCAGCAACCATCACACAATAAGCCTTATGGCACATACAGCAAAAATAATAGCAAAGATACTTAAAAGAAGAATTGAAAGGAAAATAAAGGATATACTTGGAGAGGATCAGTTTGGATTTAGAAGAGGTAAAGGAACCAGGGATGCAATTGGGATGATGAGAATTATAGCAGAACGAACTTTGGAGATAGATGAAGAACTGTGTGCTTGCTTTATAGACTGGCAGAAGGCATTTGACCATGTAAATTGGACCAAATTAATGCAGATCCTAAAGGAAACAGGTATCGATTGGCGTGAAAGAAGATTGATTAGTAAATTGTACATGGATGAGAAAGTTAGAGTGCGACTGGACAGAGGGGAGACAAGAAGTGTGAAGATTGGAAGAGGAGTTCGACAAGGATGCTGTTTATCACCAATTTTTCAAATTGTACAGCGAATTCCTTACTAAGGAAGCTCTGGATGGGCTTGGAGACTTCAAATTAGGAGGGCAAATTATTCAAACTGTGAAATATGCAGATGACCTTGTGTTAATGACTAATGAAGAAACTGTGCTACAGGGTATGATTGATAGACTAATCAAAATTGGAAGGTGCTATGGCATGGAAATGAATGTGGAGAAAACAAAAGTAATGAAAATTTCGAGACAACCAACCTCAGTCACAATAGAGAGAGACCAAAACAACTGGAGAATGTGAAATGTTTTAAATATTTGGGTAGCTTGTTAACAGATAGTGGAAGGTGTACGTGTGAAATTAAATCTAGGATTGCCATGGCAAAAGCTGCATTTAGCAAGAAGAAGAATCTTTTTACCAGCAAATTGGACTTAAATTTGAGAAAGAAACTAGTGAAATGCTACATTTGGAGCATTGCTTTGTATGGGGCTGAAACTTGGACACTTAGGGCAGTAGATCAGAAACACCTGGAAAGCTTTGAAATGTGGTGTTGGAGAAGGATGGAGAAGATCAGTTGGACCCAATTATGTGAGAAATGAAGAAGTGTTATTTAGAATCAGTGAGCAGAGGAATATCCTACACAAAATTAGAAAATGGAAGGCTAATTGGATTGGTCATATCTTACGCGGTAACTGCCTTCTAAAAGAAGTTATTGAAGGAAAGATAGAGGGGCGGATAGAAGTGACCAGAAGATGAGGAAGAAGACGTAAGAAGATGCTGGATGACCTTGGGGACAGAAGAGGATATTTTCATTTGAAGGAGAAAGCTCTAGATCGCATTAAGTGGAGGAACTGTTTTGGAAGAGACTGTGGACCTGTCATCTTGACAGATTACTAATGAATGAATGAATAATAGGTCCTTTCAAAATGGGGAAGGTTCAAATAGTTGAGCATAGCAGTAACAAATCAGAGGTACATCGCTTACTCACTTACTCATTCACTCACTCATAGAGCAAATCCTTCTTGAGAAGCTGCCAATTGTGCAGTTACGCAAGAACTTCCCAGCACTATGGAATCCAGAGGTTCATTACTGTGCTCACAGGATCCCTCCACTGGTTCCTATCCTGAGCCCGATCAGTCCATTCCATGCCATCCCATGGATCTCTAAGATCCATTTTAACCTTTAACGTCTGGACTTTTAAATTGCCGGCAGCCCTCTGCGGCCGGTATTTAAATCGCCCTAATTAATTAACATTGCAAACTTTCAGAAAAAAAATATGTATTTTCCGTTTTATGCAACATAGAAATACAAACTAAAAACAGCCTGAAAGACAGTACAATTTTCTACATATACACAAAAGTGCAATTTTTACAAATGAAAATTAACTGTGATTATTTTGTCATGAAGTGCAAAATATATATGTTATGAAATTTCAAAGGACTTACTTGTTGTTTTTTCTTCAACCTTGAATCATGGTGATATTGTAAATATAATCACACTGTATACAATAATATTTTGTTCAGACTGTACACGAGTTTGAACTGTGTCACTTCACAGTTTACGATACACTCTGATGCACCGTCCTCCTCACACACAGTGACATCGCACTTTTACAATAGAAGAGTGTGCTCCTGTTTTTTTGTATCTAGTGAAACACATGATGTCTTTGTTTCCCTTTGGTTGGCCAGTGTTGTGAATGTTTCACCTCCAGTCGACTCAGTTGGGCCCCAGGTAACCTTTGCCTCCTCCGAGAAACTTCACTGACTGTGATATTCAGTTTTGAGACTTGGTGATACTGTAAATATAATCACACCATATACAGTAATATTTTGTTCAGACTGTACACGAGTTTGAACTGTGTCACTTCACAGTTTACGATACACTCTTGACACACCGTCCTCCTCACACAAAGTGACATCGTACTTTTACAATAGAAGAACGTGCTCCTGTTTTTCATATTTAGTGAAACACATGATGTCTTTGTTTCCCTTTGGTTGGCCAGTGTTGTGAATGTTTCACCTCCAGTCGACTCAGTTGGGCCCCAGGTAACCTTGGCCTCCCCTGAGAAACGCCACTGACCGTGATATTCAGCTTTGAGACTTGGTGATATTGTAAATATAATCACACTATATACAATAATATTTTGTTCAGACTGTACACGAGTTTGAACTGTGTCACTTCACAGTTTACGATACACTCTGACGCGCAGTCCACCTCACAGAAAGCGACATCGCACTTTTTACAGTAGAAGAGCATGCTCCTGCTTTTCTTATTTAGCGAAACACACAACGTCTTTGTTTACCTTTGGTTGGCCGGTGTTGTGAATGTTTCACCTCCAGTCATATATAAACATTTGGCCAACTCGGGTTGCTGCTTGCTGCATATATATATATATAACATTCGGCTGTTAAAGGTTAATATTTTTCACCCACCTATGCCTTAGTCTTCCCAGTGGTCTCTTTCCTTCTGCTTTCCCACCAGTATCGTATATGCATTCCTCTTCTCCCTCATTCATGCTACATGCCCTGCCAATCTCATCCTCCTTGACTTGATCACTCTAATTATACTTGACGAAGAGTTCAGATTATGAAGCTCCTCATTATGCAGTTTTCTCCAACCTTCTGTCACTTGATTTCTCTTCATTCCAGATATTCTGAGCACCCTGTTCTCAAACACTCTCAGTGTATGTTCCTCTCTTAATATCAAAGACCATGTTTCACACCAATACAGAACCACAGGCAAAACTGTAGTTTTGTATGTCCTAATTTTTATGATTTTAGACAGCAGATGAGAAGACAAAAGGTTCTGGATTGAATGGTAACAAGCATTACCTGAATTCAGTCTTAATTTCCTCATGAATCAGGTTTTGTTTTATTATAGTCATTCCCAAATAGGTGAACTGTGGCTCATTTTGAAAGCATCTATTAGCTGCCTTTATGTCATGATTTTTCCCTGCATTCCATTGACAAGACAACAATATATACTTAGTTTTCTCTGTGTTTACTCCAAGACCAAATTCGTTACTAGCATCAATTAAAGTTTGTGTATTTTTCTTTGTGGTATCTATATTATCACCCAGTAGATTCACATCATCAGCATAAACCAACAGCTGATGTGTCCCATTTAATTTCAGTCCCACCTGGCTTTCCTGGATCATCTAATTGCACATTCTAGAATCAGTGTTACACTCCTGAAGAAATTAAGTGCAAATTAAATTCAGGGATTGTCTGCTACCATAACAGTTTTGCCTGTTGTTTTATATGGCATAGAACTTGGACTTTCGTGTAAAGGAAAGAACATGGTGAGGAGAATATTTAGACCTAAGGGAAAGTAAGTGGCATGAGGCTCAAAAAACTACATCTTGAGGAGCTTCATAATTTGTACTCTGTAATGATACATTATTTGGGTGTCAGTTGAGGTAGGGACGTGTAGCTTGCTTACATAAAGAGATGAGAAATGCATACAAGATATTGGTAGGAAGTTTTAAGGGAAGACCCCACTCTGAAGACCAAGATGCAGGTGTCAGATAACATTATGTAAATAAAATGGGGATGTCTGGATGAGACTGACCTGGCTCAGAATAGGCTGTTATGAGCAAGGTAATGAACTTTCAAGTTTTGTAAGAACCAGAGAATTTCTTTCCCAGCTAAATAACTATCAGCTTCTCAAGAATGTTTAATGACTTTTCATGGAGTTGCTTACTGTATTGTTGCAATATGACAAAGTTCTGTATTTAGTGTGAATGCTCTCATCACTGAGTTTTTTGTTCAAGATAACATCAGTTCATTGTGATACAGATCCATAGCCTCATTCTTAAGTAAAGTAAGTGGGCTTATGAGATCACCCTGCTGTGTGTGTGTTCCCATATAAATTTCTGAACTGGTTGACTGATTTTCAGGAAGTTCCATGCAGATGTTATGCCATTAGAGGCCAGTAAAAAGTAAAGGTATCCCTGTAACAGGCCATGGAGGCCCATAGGGTTGTGAGATGTTGAGGTTCCCACATTTTCTAGACAAACGGCTCATAGATGATGGCAAGGTTGTCAGCCCTACGTACCGGCCGCCGTTTACCCCCAAGAATATTCCAGTAATATTCCTGGTTCTCATTTCTGTTAGAGGCTGAGTCGATCCCAGGGTCATAGCATGGCTGGAAGGTTTAGGTCAATTTAAAAAGAATGCAATGACCTCATCGGGACTTGAACCCGTGACCTTCTGGCGTGTAGCATAGTGTCTCAACCAACTATGCTACTGCATGGCCCCCATTAGAGGCCAGATATAACATTTTTGTTATTTCAGGAACACAAAAGTACAGCTTCAGTTCAGTGGTAGCAAGTACATGTAAACTATTGCATATTCTTGATTTTACTTCAGCATCCCGGCCTTTGTGTAAGGAAATTTATGTGGTTGTTTCCAGGGCTGTATGTGGCAGGATTGAAACCACAATCCAAGGACTCCCTCCCCCTTATCGGCTGAACAAGCCGCTTATGAGCCTTATTACATCTCCAGAAGTGCGGCAGCCTGGCAAGGCACCCAACTACAGTGTCAACTGGACCACAGGTGGTGACATGCACCCACACATTAATCCTGCAAGTGCCAAGTGAAAATAATGGAAATTTCAGGTCTAATAGACAGATGCTGCAATTTTAAGCTAAAATGGAATTCCTGTGCATGCTTTCCAGAAGAATAAGTTGTGCTGCATTTTAGTATGTAAGTTTTCATGACTGAAAACCATACAATTGAAACCATTTTTGAACAAATAATTATTATTATTATTATTGGTAATATTTTGGACACTTCCTAAAAAAAAAGCTTGTGACCTAACATTCAAGACTCTGCTTACTATCTCAGCAACTTCTGTCCAGATTTCATTACAAGTATTCATTAATAGTTATAGTTCTGTGTATATTCCACCTTGCAGTGGAATATCATCTTCTACATGGTCATCTCCATTATGGTAATTTTAAGACACTGAATTAATATATCCATACAGTCTTTTTCGGTATCACTGCTATTATTTTGAATATGATCATTCTCAGTGTCACAAATGTCATTTCCTTCTTCCACAGTATTTATAATTTTTTGTCTCTGTTACTTGCTATGTTTTCTTTTCTAGTTGCCATTTTATGTTGTCAGGGCTCTGTTCTTTCTTGGCAAATAATATATGAGGTTTCTTCAAAAAGTTCCTGAAACGAGGACAGTGCATCAGTGCATGGATCCCATTAGCTATTGTTTTCATTTTGTTCCAAGTAGTTTGGACTGTCCATTTAGTTTTTATAACTGGTTTCGTGATTGAATGTGTTGTCTTGTCACATTCAATGTGGGATTTATAAAGAAACGAAGAATTTATGTCAAATTCTCTTTCAAAGTAAGGGAAAACAGCTGCAGAAACTCACAACATGTTGAGTGAAGCTTATGCTGATGATGCCTAGAGTCAAATGACAACTGTGAATGGTTCAGACATTTTAAAAATGGAACAACTTTGACAGATGATGTGTGTTCTGGCCAAACTTCAGCTTCCAGATCCAAACCTCTTATTGCCTAGGTGAAAAATATATTATCCATGGAAGTCATCAACTGACTCTCCAAGAAGTTGCAGAAGAGGTTGGAATGTTCATGCTACACAGTTTTAACAGAAAATTTAGGAATGCATTGGGTTTCAGAAAAATGTGTTCCAAGACTCTTGACTGATGATATATTCCAAAATCACCTCCAGAGAGTAAATGATGATGAAAATCTTTTGAAAACTATCATTTCCTGTAACGAGACTTTGGTTTGTGGTTATGGTGTTGAAACCAAACAACAATCCTCACACTGGAAGTGTCGTGCTTTGCCTCACCCCAGGAAAGCATAACAAGTGCACTCATGAATGAAAGCAATGTTGCTTGTTTCTTTTAACATTGAGGCATTGTGCATTATGAATTAGTGTCTGAAGATCAGGCAATCAAGATTTATTTCTGGTGGTTCTGAGACGTCTGCAGGATTCAGTATGAAGAAAGCGACCTGAAATATGAACTGCAGCAACTCTTTCATCACAATAATGTGCCTGCTCACGAAGTGTTGTCAGTGATACAATTCTTGGCAAAACATTTGATTTCAACCCTTTCACACCCCCTCTTCACTTGCCCACTCCCCTCCTGACTTTCTCGGTTCCCTAAATTCAAAATTACCCTGAAAGAAAGAAAGCTTCAGGCAGTGGAAGATGTCATCACTAATGTGATGAATGAGTTGAAGGTGATACCTCAAACATCCTTTGAACAGTGCTTCCAGAAGTGTAAAAGGCAATAGGAGAGGTGCATTACTGCTCAAGGGGACTATTTTGAATGGGTCAGTATTCATTAAGCTTTAAGAAGAGAAAATATTACTTATAGAAAAAATTATGGGAACTCTTTGATCACACATTGTATATACAAAACATTTGTAAGAACTTCAGTTTTATTGAAAAGTTCCCTCCAGATGTTTCTTGACTGTGCAGTAGTGATGTAAAGCTGTCATGGGCTGTCAGAAAAAGCAAATTCTGTAAAATGAAATTTTTTACTTTGGCATTACAGGATCTGCATTGGTTCGGAATTTTCTGCACTTGGTACTTGTAGGGTTAAGCAGTTATTTTGTTCATAGTATAGATGTGGCATGTAGTCTTATACAAGTAAATCATTAAAGAATCTCCATATCATTTCAAAGTGTTGAAAATGTAGTCCACTCCTCTGATACACTTCTTTTGGTGGTGCTGCTGATAGTGTTACAGATTTTATTTTGTCTACTTGTATGATCGGTATGTCTCATAAGAACTCAGGCATCTGTTTGACAATGTGCGAAAAACATGCTGTCCTACATAAAATAGGAGCCATTCTTGTCTGTGTATGCAGGGGCCCAAGATTTGTCATCAGAATTCTTAAATTTGAGCAGAATGTCTGTGGCAAGAAGCATTTGGTTGTACAATAGATACCACTGCACCAAGTTGTTGGGAGGTGTCACCTTATGTGTATGTTTTGGTCATGACTTGTAGGTCTGTTTGACAATTTGCTGCTGTTTTGATATGCGTTAATCCATGGTAACAGTACCAGATGTACCTAACTGCTTTTCCTGAAATTCACTGTGCAAGACCTGCATTAAAGTTTGATGGACCATCTTAATTTTGAGTTAGTTTCAGTCATTTAATTGTCACTGCTTAACAGGGTGAAGTGAAGTTTGTTTTAAATATATTTTATTTTTTTGAAACAATATATCCAGCTCTCGTATGTGCGTGTATGCATGTGAGAGAGACAGGCAGACAGGTACACTCTGAATTCTTATCTCAGTAGATTTTAATATTAAACCGAGGAAAATCTTAAATGGAAGAAGTTTAACTCTGAGATGCTGACTTGGGATAACTTAAATTTAACATTTAAATGAGAGAAGGAAACCTTAAATCGAAGAATATTGATCTGGGGTTCTCTGTGTTTATACACACTCATGCACGTGCACACACAGTATATAGTAGAATATGGTGATTTGGACTAGATTCATCTGGCTCAAGGTAGAGAAGCAAGTGGCAGGGTCATGTGGACCTACCAGTGAACCTTCAGGTAATAGGATGCTTGGAATTTCTCGACAAGCTAAACAACTATCAGCTTCTTAAGAAGGACTCTGCCTTCTTTAGTTATTTAGCATATTTGTTTTATGCTTAAGTTTTACATGTGAATGTTTAATTTTAGGGCAAGAGGGTCCTGAGATAATTAATTCAGTAACAGGCAAGGATGATCAGGGTGTTGCATCTAGACTGTCAAAACAAGGTCTCTTCAGACGTTTCCTGAACCTTATGGGAAGAATAGGTTCAATAACTGGATTGACTTTTAAATCATGTCCACGTCAGTATTCAGATGCAAAAGAAGCAGTTCAGGACTACAAGGTAAGAGGTAACAGTTACATGTGGGTTGGGGCAGAATTGTGTGCTTGCATACAAGTGTAGAAGTAACAGTTTGGAGGGCAAATGTATATCAGGTTGCCAGTCAAGATCCGCTGAGCCATATGAAGAGGCTTACATTTTTCTGAACACTAATGTACTATGTATTCATCCTTTTGAGCCATGATTGCTGTTTTTGTAGCATTCAGACTTTCCTCTTATACAGTCAGAATCAAACTTTTAATCAGTGTTACACTGTTTGCAGAATGTACCAAATAGCTACATTTGCATTTGCATTGTACAACTTGTGTATGTCTCTTTATTTTGTTCTCCTCCATTGTACATTAACCTGGAATTATGATTTGATTCTGAACAAGTGTGGGTCTCAGCAAGGAATTGGAAATATTCTGGTGATGAATAACAATGCAAAATAAACTTCTATTCTTTGCATGTAATTACAGAAATACTGGAAAATTTATGTAAGTCAGGAACGAATTTGCATACTAATGGTGAACATGCATAGTATTCTGTTTCCTCTTATCTATTAACGTGTCCACATAATGAGTGCAACAAAAATTTCTGAGGCCATTTGAGGTCCAGCAATTACTGAACACAGGCCTGTAGATTTGCATTGGCTGGGAACCTCAGGTCATGAGTATGGAAGGGTGCCAGTTCCAGAACCCTCTCTCTGAAAAACTTTCTCCATTTTGCAGCCCTGCCCATGTAAGCGTGCCAATTTTGCAGAACCTCCCTCTGTGGATGTGTTCCTGTTCCAGTCCTCCTGGCATAGAAGTGTGTGTTCCACAGCCCTCCCAATGTAGAAGTGGAACCATTTTACAGCCCTGTCTATGTGGAAGGATGCCACTGTATTCTATGTGTTTCACCCATCATCCATGATTTTATTACCCTTATATTATTTTCTCAAAGTTGAGTGGGTAATATTTACAAGCTGAAGTTTCAGATTGAACACCAGCTATCCTGACAGGTGTTCCATGGTTTTCCTCAATATCTTTGGGAAGATGCTGATGTAGGACCTCAGATTAGTCCCCAACCACTTCCGTGCACATCCATTCCAACTCACTGTTCACCAATCATCATACCACTGGACCTCTGAGCTTGTGACAGTGTCATGATGTGAACCATAAGCATGAGTAAAAGTTGCTTCTTTCACAAAGATGTGATGTTATGTAGTCTGGTAGAAGTTTCCAGGGCCATTCCCCCAGAACAGTACATCCAACTAAACACCAGTAAACAACTACATAACTGTATAGCATCACGTCCTGGAAGACATACTCTTCATAATCGGTACCATGACAGCCTCAGATGTAACAGGTTTCTGGTATGGTTACTTTAATCCTCATTGCATAGGCTTCCTTTGAAGTCTCTCTCTCTCTCTCTCTCTCGCTGTCACCACACATAATCTATAGTTTCTAAAGCTTAAAACAAACTGCGTAGAGTACAGTGAGTTTTCATTATGTTTCACTAAATATTGGCAGTTAAATAAAATTAGCTACCTCTAAGGAGTAGAGTCCTTGAGATGTCAACATTTGCTCAGCAAACCAATAATGAATTACCTCCATTTTGTGAAACATTCATTTCCATGTTGAGAAGATCCTGCCACTGGTCCCCATCCTGAGCTAGATTAACCCAGTTCATACCCTTCCATTCTGTTTCTTTAGGATTGATAATATTGTGTGTGGCATGCAGACTTGTTGCTAGGCAATGACCATGGAATAAGCAACTATACAACATCTGTTGCTAAGTAACAGCTTTGCATACAAGCATGTTTCCATGGCAACAGTCAAACTGCAATAGAGGAATGATGTTTTTGATGCTGTCTGTGCCAAAATGTTATAAGTAGGACACATTAGAAGCTGCAGTGAGATAGTGACTGCAGTGACTGTTGGGGTTCAGTTGTTGTGAGCTGTTGCTGTGAGAAGCTGGTAGCTGAGGCTGGGGACTGTTCGGGAACCCAGAGGAAGGGAAACATTTGACATTGAAGGCCACTACCAAGCAATGGCTAGTGGAGACTATCGTTTGTTATTTGCAGTTACAAGTGTAGGTGTCCATTAAATCCGATTACCAATCAAAAAAACCTGTATGTAGTCACAGTAAATTGTGACAGCTTGTGTCAGAAGTGTGATGTATAGTAACAAGTTATATATCTATCTGTCTGTCTTCATTCCTGTTGCTCCCACTTGGAGTGTCAGGGCATCTGTGAAACGCTTCATTTCACTTCAGTTTCTTAATCTTAGACAGTTGGTAGGACTACTTGAATGAGGGATCAGCCCATTGGAAGGTCGTTACCTACACAGGAGAACACAAACACAGAGAAACCCATGCATTGAGTGGGATTTGAACCTACGATCCCAGTGATCAAGCAGGTGAAGACATTTCATGTGCAGCGACCATGATCGGTGCGAGTTGTATTAGTGTGCAGTAAATCCGGTTATCAGTCCAAAACCTGTCTATAGTCAACACACTAAAATCATGGCAATATCATCTCGTTTATGCATTTGTCTACTGTCCCATACATGTCACCACAACATGCCAATTCCTGCATATCCTGTTTGATTTGGTCATGCTAATAATAATGTTCATTGAAGAGGTTTCTTATTATTCGGTGTTCTTCATGCTGTAGTATGCTCTTTCTTGTGTTCACATGCTCTCCATAGCAGTCTGTTATTCATCATATGGCACTTGCCTTCAGAATATATTACTTTCTAACTGTTAATATTATTGGGTGTGTTACAGATGGCAAAGGAGCAGCTTGTACTTGCTTTCCACAAAGCTGAACTGGGCACATGGCTGAAGAAGCCAATAGAGCAAGACCAGTTTGAGTTAGATGATTCTATGCTGGCTAATCATCAGTGACTGGAAGGTGGATCTGTTGGGGTTTGCCTAACAGAATAGAGCAGTTGTTCAGTCCTCCGTCCCCCCCTGTCTCATTTGCTTCCAGGAGCAGACCCCACACTTGGTGCCAGTAAAGGGCAGACTGTGGAGAACTAGGCATAGCACTTCGTTCACTCTTTCTTCCAACTCATCTCAAACTAGCATTAACGGTGTTGTAACTCCCATTGCAGTAGAGAAACAAATTTTAGGGATCATGTATAAATTGTCTTCGTTAGTTGCCTGCATAACTCTTGCTCAGTGGCTTACTAAAATTAATATAGATATGAATTTTTTCCATGATAAAAACCAAGTTACCTTCTAAATACCATAAGTAATGAACATAGGTAGACGTATGTTGTTGATAAAATGTCAAGTCACTAATTCAGAATAATCATAGCAAAGGCAGTAGGAAAATTTAGCACTCATTTAATTTTAAGAGCAGACATTTATATATGATCCTGGGCTTGATATGATCTCCTGTAGCATGACAGTGTATATACTATCTGTTTCACCCACATAACCTTTGCTCAGTTTCATCTTCTGGTCCTTGCAGTACAGTACAGTCTGGCTGCTGAAATTAGCAACACTTGCATGCTATGTTCCAAAACAATAGAGCATTTACCTTATATTGTTATGTTCATAAGCTTCAAGAGACATTTCTTCTATACATCAAAAGAGCGAACTGCTTCAGAGAGTCTTACTGCTCATGGGATGAATTGTACAGGTTGCTTGCTTAACTTCCCAGCTGACTGTAAATATGTCTTGTACTTTGTGTTTGACTTTAAATATTGCATTGTATCTGCTGCAGTTTGATTTCTTCTTACGTTTTTCAAACTGAAATATCAAGGTAAGAAATGGTCAAGTATTAATTTGTTGTTATTTGTTACATGAGATACTACTGTGTAGTACAAACTGGCACCATTTTTTTAATATGAAAATATTCTTAAAATTGTAACACTCTTCTGGGAATATCTTAACATTTTTCATGATATGAAAGATGTTGTATAACATGTCAGTGAGGTACATAGAGAAATGGTTCAAAATGGTGCCTGTGACAGTTGGTAGTGTTGGTGATGTTGTTATTGCTAATGTTGCTGCTGTGGTTGGGCTCGTGTTTCCCAGACTCTGCCCCTCACTGTGCCAAGTCAGTATGGGATGGTGGACTGAAGGCGAGCCCTATTCTGTTAGCTGTTGGACCCTGAGTCACTGGCTCTCAGTGATCACTGTTGTTCCCAGAAGCTGTTCAAGATGTAATGTAGCAGAATACCAGTTTATTATATTGTAACTGTTGCACGGGATGTTTTACGTTTACTGAAAGGGCGTAATTCATAGTGTACTGTAACAGTGGAAAATGATTTTTAAGGAATATGGCTGAATGTTGTAAACGAGATGTACTGAATAAGGTTCCTTCAATCTTTCTGCCATTTTTACCATTTTCTAGCTTTGACTATAGATAGTACTTGTTAAGGTTGAATTCCAGTTCCAAATGAGGGTTCATACTTCTTGTCCATTAGATTTTACTGTGGTTTATAACAGCATGATTATGAAAATATTTCGGCTGAAGTTACAACTTTATTTGAAAACGCTTCTCTTCAGTGCTGTTATTGATTTCTCTGAAAGAGGTAGCAGTACTTTTCAGAAGCATGTGTCACAAAAGTGATCACAAAATTTTACAACTGTAAATCACGGATTCCTTCTGAGCATGTAAGCACTACCAGACTGAATAATCGACGTTATGTATTGAAGATGTTTTGACATTTTAGCACATATTGCAATTGCCATCTTCAGGTATGAGGCACGATATGTTGGTCTCATTTCAGAATAAGGTTGGGAGGTGAAGAGTGTGATGCTTTTGGTTGGTGAAGAATAAATGTTTGAGGAAGAATGGAGAAACAAGATGTTGTTCCGTTTCTGTCCATCCTTCATGACTGAAGTTGTGTGGCAGTTTCACTGTTTTAATGAGGTGGAGATGACAAGTCTTAATGTTGGTTAGAACTTCAGTTCTGTCAAAATCAATACTATGCTTGGTTTTGGTGTATTCAGGTGCCACTTACTGTTGATCCTGTAGTCTGGTGTCTGATGTATTCTGAGACAAGTGGAGATGTGACACCAAGTTTTGGATGAGGTATACCTTGCCACAGGAGTAGGGGATCTTGACAGTGCTTGATTTTTGTGCCAAGGTTTGTGTATCCTTTATTGATATTGTGTGGATCACATTTCGTTGAAAGGTTTTGTGTGGATTCTTTCAGCATAGCAATGCAGCCTTTTTTGTTCCCCATGTGGCGTTACTTTTCCACCTTTCCTTTATTGCCATTGTTCTGTCTTGTATCAATAGTCCCAGATACTCTCATTGTGCCCTTACAGGAGTAACCATAGTAGCTGTAGTCTTAGAGAATAGTAGTGATGTTATATTATGTCCAGGAAACCACTGACTGCATTGCAAGGACACTTGAGAATATTGGATCCACACGACTCATAAACTTTTGAACAAAATTGTGACTCTTCTGAGGTTACTGGACACAGTCTCTTGACACAAAAGTCTTGCACTTACATCAGCCATGCACACCAACAACTTTACCTGCCAACGTGGATGTGAACTGAGCAATGCTTGGATTCACCTCTTTCCCCAACTTTTCTTCTTAACAACAGGACCATGGTTCCATCAGATAGCAGCATCATACCCAAGCTGCAAAACACCGAGAGCAAGGATATCTTATAAATCTCAGAATGGGACAATCAGATGTAATTTCAGAGAGCTGTTATGCACATTATAGGTGATTTATGTGCTCATCCTGATAGAAAAATGCTACAATCTTGAAAAAGAAATAGGCTTCACATTCTTAATATTTGAATTTTCCCAAACTAGGATTCAAGGCACAGTAAATGTAATTTTTAATAATTATACTTCTTGTAGACAGGATGTACATCCTTGTAATAGGACATACTTAATATAAAGTATTGTGACTGATAATGAGACCTTGACTTCTACTGGGTAGTATGACAAGAAGCATGGTACCATAATGGTTATATAATGTAATGTTTCTGGCTGTATGGAATGAAATAAACTTTCACCCATTAGTGATCCCACTTGTTTCTGGTTTCTTTGTAAGTCATTTTAATTTTTGCTGTATACATTTTCAATTGCAAGTTACTGTTCATTGTATACATTTGCAACTGCAAGTTATGGTTTACTGTATATATTTGCAGCTGGAAGTTATGGTTTACTGTATACATTTTCAACTACAAGTTATGGTTTATTTCATATTCATTTTATAAATGTTAATTTTTGTTTTTATTTTCATACTGTTAGGTGCAAAGATGTAATGTTTAAGTGAGTGTTAAATTTTTAACTTTTCATGTTAATGAGAGTTACTGTCTTGGTTCATTGCATGAGCCTAGTACTGTATACAGACCTGAAGCTTTAGGTGTAGCCACCAGCTGATCTTGAATATGGATTTTTAAGACTTTGGTTGCATTTTCATGAAGATTACCATTTTATAGTAATCTTGCCTGTGTGTCAGACTGATAATATACATATATCTCAAGCAGTAGAACATTTCTGATAATGGTAACATATGTACAGTCATTGTTATTCCAGGGTGTAGAATTTGAAGTGCATTTTAGGTCTCTGGGAGTCTATATAATACTGGAAATATAATCTCTTGTTATCTCTCAATTGATATAATAGGCAATATGATTAATGAGTGAGAGAATGTGATCCATTGTTTAAACTTTCTCTACTTACAAACTTGAAAGCTTCCATCTTAAATTCTTCTCTTTGTTAGTGTCTTTTGAGTTTTTTATTTTTTAGAAGATTTAACAGGCTTTCATTGTCCCAGGCACTGTGCTGTAAAATTGTAACTGCTATATCATGTGGCATTCTTTTCATTCAGTCCATTAATTAGAAGTAGCTGTGGAAGTTATTTCCCAGCTGCCATCAGAAGAGTGCACATAATTAAAATATTGCAATTTTAACTTCAAGAATGCTTCACAACACCATTAATACATTTAGTTAGGTTAAGAAACATGCAAACTGAATGAACATTTGTGCAGAATGCCCAGCATAAGACACTGAAATACTTTGTACTGGGTGCAAAACATGGGGCAGAAACTTTGTTAACATTTTGTTTTAAATGACAGATAAGGGATGTTTTGAATCACACAACTTTACTACTAGAATAGCATAGACTTTAGCACCTGCCATTAGTATAACTACATTGCAGTGCTTAAGTCCAATAAATCTTGGTCAAATATTTATGGATCAGTAAGTATCAGATAAGATAATGTAGTATTAAATTGCCTGACTCGTCTTCAGGAAGAGTGATGGATGAAACTATAAGATTTAAGTGGATTCTCCACACAGTTCACTTTAGCACAGTATTTTCAAATAGACAAAGTTTTAAAGGGTCAGTATAGTGTTACAGGTAGTTCTATGAACATTGTCTCATCTTTTAACAGTTTCATGTGGTTCAAAAGTCACATTGTACATTGTACGTACGTGATGTAATACTCTGAAAATATTGTGGCATTACGATGAAAGCCAGAATTGTGAAGCTGGCAGAGACAATTATTGCTGGGAAGCGGCTCTGCAAACACACCTGTTCTTAGGCAATAGCTCAGTCACTGTCATGTGATTGCTGCAGTAGACACACACAACAACAGCAGAAGCAGTGTTTTGTATGAGGTATGCCCCAGTGGTATATCTGGAAAACAGAAACTCATAGTTAGCAGTAAAGTCTGGAAGTAGGCAGTCCATTACAGTCCCAGCCTTAGGATGTCCTGGGCCCTGGGTAGGAGGCCAGCATAATAGTAGTCTTGAGGTGGCAGTTAGGGAGGTTGCAGTTTGTGGATCATAAGGGCATGAGAAATAGCCCTTGTTAGAGGACTGTGACCAGGCAGTGCCTAGTTGAGTTGTGAAATAGATGCCAGCAGGCAAGGACAGATGCAGCAGAACCCTGAAGCTGAGGAGCCATTATGAGGCAGTGCATAGTGAAGACAGAAGACATAGTGTGTGCTATAGTGCATAGTAAAATGTGGTAACTAGTCAAACTGCTGTAGTTATGAGTTCCAAACCCCGTGTAGTCACTAAACACATGACAATATGTAAGTATGTTAACTCATCCCACTTCAAGTATGTGACATCACTTATTTAATCCTTTTAAATACAATGGCAACCCATAATGCACAGCATACATGGGTAATGGTTGAAATAAACAATGGAGAAACCATGGAACATGTTTGTGCATAATTAATGTCATGCTGAACAGTCTGGTATTGAAGCCAGTTTCTGCTGGCAAGTACGTATGTGATCAACTTAGGCACAGCCAGTATTGGGTCAGGAATTTGTCATTCTGAATTTGATACTTTGTTTTTGTTACAGCAGTGGACTAGTGTAGGAAGTTCATGTGGTTAGTTTGTTGCAGAAACTGTTTTCAGCAGGATTCAGGAGAACCACATACCAAGTGTTGAAGACCAGGACCAAGACTGTCAGTCACATTGAATTCACTTCCCTGGTTTTGATGGCAGAAAATGTGCATGCTCTGTATCTACCAAACCTGCTGGCAGATGGGGTATGTGGGAACATTCAGTTTGGTTCCGTTGGATTTGTAAAGACCAACATGAAACTTGATTTGTTCTTTGTCAGTAGGTATGATTCTGTTCATTAAGAAAAACTGATCACAGTTGTCAATTACATGTTAGTAGCCAGTATATGACAACCAAGTAAAACAGGATAAGTTTTGTGTTTGGATAATATATTCAACAGGATAAACTTAGTGCACTTCATATATTTGCACTTAAGTATAGGGACATTTATATTTATGTGTTGGTTTGTAAGTGATTTTTCAATTAGAGATCTTGTTTTTCCAGTAGAACTTAAAATGGTCTATACTTCAGTTTTTCTTACTTGTCCTTTGTCAGGGGAGAATAAGTATAGAATTTGCAAAAACAGATGAAATGGTATCCTTGTAAGCCAGTATAAATTGTGATGTGTGCCAGGTTGGCCATAGAACTGTAAGCTCCATAAAGTCTGGTTATAAACTCTTCAGTATCTCATTGTGTTTCATTTAATTTGAAAGAGAAATTCCCAGCCTTCTCATTATTCTGCATATATCCCCAGTGGACTTGAACATGATTCACTTTACATTTCCCACAGCCCCACAATGTGAACTGTTAGCCATGCTTACTCTTTACTGGTCCTTCATTTGTATATAGTATCTGGTTTAAATCTAAAGTTGGACTGGCTATTTTTTACTTAAATATGTCATGATTTTCCTCAGTCCCTGACCATGACTGCATCTTGTTCCATGATCTGCAGTGTGACCTCCCAGTTGGTGTGGTTCCACACTAAATGTCTTTCCAGAAACTTTATTACACATTTTTATTTTTCTGGTCAAGTGATATTTGTTACTTGACCAGAATGAACCTTCAGGTTCCATAAAATGTTGCAAAATTCTTGGAATAGCTGAGCACTGGTGGCTTTTCAAGGACTCAGCTTCATGGAGTGATATATATTACTGTTTAGTTTTATTAGTCTTAGGTCTGGAGATAGGGACTAGCTTTATTGATTGGGCCTTAGGAGGCTTCTACTTGGAAGACAGAAACAGAATCCAGTCTCTGAAATGTGTTTTAAATAAAAACAGGAGGATAGATAGTGTCCAGAAACAACAATTTTATTAATATACTGTTGTCAGAAAATTTAGACCCTATTGTTTAGGTTTTGCTTACATATGACCAGAATTCATAATTAAGGGCCACATAGGATCATTTGTTTTGTAACCAAAATGACAAAACACCCTAACCTCACTCTACAGGAGCAAGATTAGAACAGATTAATTGAAAACTGGAAGTTGAGAAATTCCTTGGTTTTTTGCTGACCTGGAAGGAAGTCTATAGAAAGTGAATTATAGTGCCCTCATATAACACTGCTTAGTCCTAGCAATATGGTATGACAGTGCAGATTCCAAACAATATAATTTAACTGCAGATCTAGAAGCTGTTTGAGCCAAGAGATGTTATCACTCAGGTCACTAAATTACTCTTGTTCTTTCAGTATAAACACATTATGGTAAAACCTCCTTACATAATTCAATCCATCTTCAGTCAACACTCAAACAGTTGTAAGCCCAGTAAATCTTGAAACTGTATAAATAAATGTTTAACCAACATCCAGGGCTTGAGGTGGGGCAGGATGGCATCCTGGTTCTTTTCTAAATGGCTTAAAAGCATCCCATTACTTCTTTGGCAGTAAATGCAATGTACAATACCTTTTTTGTTGTTATCTGTTTCATGGTTGTACAGGCTACTCCCCTGCATCGTCTAACTAAATTTTGCTTTCGTGTGGTACTGTTTGAAGCACCCGAGAATGCACAGTCCCACATCACATTTCTCACACTTCGTCTGAACACGTTTCCTCTTTCCACATGCAGAACAAACACGACATTTCATTCTCATGGCACAACAGGTCAGCCAGTGATGTTGATTGGCCTCTAGACGAAATATAGTGGATGACAGAGCAGGAGGTCGACCTAATGGGTGTTGTGGTTGGGAGCGACACATTACAGCATGTTCCAGCATGTTGCGCATAAGGATAAGACGAAAGTCCCTATGTGATAGTTTCGCACCACAGGATGATAGCAGGATGAAACTATTTAGAATCATCAGATCCAGTAAATGGAAGACGCTTGTTTGGCAGCAATAAGGGTTTTTCAAAGAAAGTAGGGGGCAGGCAATTTTCCTTTGTATCAACTTCCGCCAAATACCCTGAATAAGCTGAGAAACTTGTGAAGATAGAAATATATAGGCTTATGGCCAGCACACTTTTATGGCATGGGGTTTCTGCTAACAAGCCCAAGTGTTACAAAGAGGAAAGATTTTATACTGCAGAACTGTTGTGTGTAGGAGTGGAAAACTTTTATACTGCAGAACTGCTGTGTGAAGAATTTTTTAGTTAATTCCATTCATTTATCATAAAAATTGTATTAGAGCAATTGCAAATACAACGCTCAAGCGCTCTAAGTGGAATTGGCATTTAAACATAGAGCAGAAACGTGGATTTAAACCCCTGCAAGCAGCGGGCATTTAAATAAACCCTGGTCAGCTAGCTTTACCTGCGTTTGAAAACTCCGGCGGTTAAAGGTTAAGAATATGAAAATGAATCTTTCCTTAAGACCAATAATAAATTATACAGTGTCGGAAACAGTTTGTCCTTCTCTTGCCTTGCATCCCATCCCATCCAAATGTGGAGGTGGCCTGTCTCCAACAGAACAGTTGTTTACAACAAAATTTTAAGTTTTTCTATTGTTGATGTCACGTCTGAATTCTTAGTTATTTTACTGAAAATGAAAACACAATATCTTGGCAGAAAATGAGGTACACATTTCCTACTCCCTCCTACTTCATTGGACAGAAATAAATTTGGTGTTGAAATAGCATAGTTGGCAAACTACAAATACAGTTATGACGGGTACAGGCTGTATTCTCACATCCGGTAATACATATATAAACTTGTAGAATAATGTGAGAACCCATCCCATTTAAGCGATGGGTCAGACGTTTACAGTAAATAATCACAAAAGTTTCTATTGTTGATGACACGTCCCAGCCGTAAGGACACACATATTTTATTCTATTCCAACCAATGGGAATTTAGCCAGAAATTTTAGTGGGGGGGGGGGCTTGGGTTGATCCTTGCTTTAATGACAGAAACTGTACGAAATGTTATTTTAGTTCAGCATCAGTTTTCATTTATCGGTGAAAATGGAGAAATGGATAATTCGCAGTAAGAAACCCAAGTTAAGTGAAAGTGGCAGTAATGAACCGTGTGCAACTGTAAGTAAAAGTGAAACAATTATAAGTTCCATCCACTGCAACGAAGACGAAACCACCGTATGTGTGAATACAGCTGCAATAGATAACAGCGTGACTCAAAATCTGGTGCATGAAAATGACGTTAATTATTTCCCTAATTACTGGACACAAGATCAATGGCTAGAAAAATTGAAAATATACGAGTGGTTGACAATTAGTAAACAAGGGCTAGGCTGTACAACATGTAAATCAGTGGGAACTCTAGGGCCTGCAAAAACACAAGGTTTGAAATTATCTAGTGAGTGGTGTGAAGATAGGGTCAAGGAATATGGTGAAACAAAAGAGAAGAAACAACAGTCAATTAGGAAGAAACTGTCTTGTCATAAACTATCGGCAGCTCATGTTAAAGCTAGCGACATTTTATGCCTTGCTAAAAAAAACAATTGAATGTCTGAATGTTAAAACACAAGAAAAACAATACGTTACAACTTGTCGCATATTTAGGACAGCGTATCAAATAGCGAAAGTGAACCGTCCCATGACAGATTTAGCAGCTTTGATTGATTTACAAGAACTAAATGGTTTAGCTATGGGGCGTATCTTGCAGTCTAATCATGCCTGCACTGATATTTGTGATCATATAGCAGATGAAATGAGAAAGAAACTTATTAAATGTGCAATGAAAACAAACATGCTCTTTCGTCCAGATAAGCCATAGACAGACTGTGAGTCAGCAGCATGCATTTATACTGCAGAACGGTATTGTGCAGAAGCTTTATGCATTTTTGTAGACAGACGCTCAAAATTGGGGAAAAATTATTTTGGAACCAGTGTAACAATTTTTACAGATTCTAAAACCTGTAAATTACAATATCTGATTCTATATTCTTTCTAGATAAAAGCAGCGTTAATTTCGTTCGTCTATCACAAAAATTGTAGAAATCACAGCATTTTGAGTAACATGATTACAATTTTTATTACTCTACAATAGCGGGCATTTAAATTAAATAGGCTCAAAGGACGCGAAAATTATAGAGAATGGTGCTTTGATATTCAAAATATTCTAGTGACTGAAACTGTGTGGTCAGCAGTCGAAGGATATCCTGCAGAAGACACAACGCCAGTATCCATCAGGAAACAAAAGGATGAGAAAGCAAGAGCCATCATTTGTCTGACATTGGAGCACCAAGTTAAATCTTACATCGTCCAGACAACTATAGCAAAGGAAGCCTGGGACACGTTGGAAAGATCATTCAAAGATCAGGTAGTCAATAGTTGGATAAGTATTTTAACTGATTTATGCTCTTTGAAACTTGAGGACTATAAAAGCATGCAGGAATATGTTAATGCCTTCATGTCAATAAATCTTAGATTAGTCTCAATGAACAAAAAAATAGAAGATGAGCTGTTAGCCGCATTAATGTTAAAGGGTTTAACTAAAGAGTATTATCCCATGCGTATGGTGCTTGAAAACTCCAATGTAACTTTGACTAGTGAGCTCATTAAATCTAAGCTATTGCAAGACACTGAATTTGGTAAAAATGCAAATTCAGATTCAGCCTTTCTGTCCACAGATAAGTTTAAACGTAATCCACCAAAATGTCAAATTTGTGGTAAGCTAGGCCATATAACTGTTGGTTCAAAGATAAGGATAAGGTGAACAATAATAATCATAACAATCAGCATAAGCAAAAATTTAAGAGCAATCAGTCTTCTAAATCAGTTAATAGAACTGATGAAAATAAAGGATCCGATCATAGGTGTAATGAAAATAAATGGAAAAATAAGACCAGTAAAAGATCCATGTATGTGGTATCTGCCCATTAGGTTAAAATTAAGGATGATACTTGGGTAATAGACTCTGGTGCTTCACACCATATGACCAGAAATAAGACTATTTTGCAAAATTATAAAATGCATGATTCTAAAGAACATGAAATGACCCTTACTAATGATAACATGTTAACCAGTGCAGGTTTTGGTGATGCAAAACTTATGAATGACAATTATAGCCATATCTCAGATGTATTGCATGTACCGGGATTGTCTGCAAATTTGTTGTCTGTAAACTCAATTGTAAATAAGGGTACAATTGTGTTATTCACCAAAGACTGTTGCAACTTATATGACTGATGATTTTGAGGTAAGAGGCAAAGTTCTTGCCAAAGCATATCCCGAAAATGGGATTTATTGTTTAAATACCACAGCTAACATGACCCAATCTGCAAATATAGCAACTAAAGATA